GGTCTTGGTGACACAGAATGCCTTCCATCAGCTTTGGCTGGTGGCCCTGCTGTGCCTCCAGGGATAACCTACCTTCTGTTGTGTGTGCTCTGGTAATCTCTAGGTAGATTACTGCAACATTTTATACCTGGGACTGCTTCTGAAGACAGTTTGGAAACTTCAGCTGGTGCTCACTTGAGGCAAGATGATTTGTACATGTAAAGCTAATCCTGGCCCCACTGCACTGGCTGGCAATTAGTTTCTGGGTCCAATTCAAAGTGCTGGTTTTGTATAAAACCTTAAACAGCTCAGGACCACAATACCGCAAAGTTCTCCTTTCCCCATATGAACCAGTTTAGACCCTCCAATCATCATCTAAGGACCTTCTTCATGTGCCTCCTCTTTGTGAGGTCTGGAAGGCCTCAACATGAGAATGGGCCCTTTCTGCTGTAGCTCTCTACTTGTGGAATGCTCTCCCCAGGGAGGCTTGCCTGGTGCCCTCATTAAACATCTTTAAGTGCCAGACAAAAACATTCCTCTTCACCCAGGCCTTTGGCTAATTAAACAATCTATGATGTTTAAACCACGTGGAGGGTATTTTTGTTGTTGTTATATTATGCATTTTTGTGTTTTTATATTGTAAACCACCCCGTGATCCTTGGATAAAGGGTAGTACAGAAATGTAATAATAAATAAATTATCTATCTATCTATCCTAAATGCTGGTTTTATGTTTGTGTTGGGTTCAGGTTTTGTGCTATGCAAGGCAAAAGTAAAGAATCAATTTTTTTGTAACCAGCAGTAAACTGAAAGATGATTAACGCTCACTAACATAAAACTCTGATGAGATTTCTGAGCCAGATTCCAAAGGTACACAAGGAATAAACCAGCTAAAGCTTCAAATATTTTATATAGATATATAAGCATATGTTAGCCTGGGAATCTGTTAGATGATGTCCTGACAACAAGCCTGATGCATACTAGAAATGTTTGATCACAGTTTTGTCCACTTTCCAGATCTCTCTTTATGTCCCTTTTCAATACTCCAGGTAACTTGACCAGATGTCTCTGTTTGATTGCTCAAGCTCCAATTTTTAATGGACTGGATAAGCATCCAACAAATTTATGCAGAAACACCCTATTGTCATTTGGCCATAGATACACCCTCAGTATAGAAGCAGCTGATAGGCAGCCCCTGTTCCTCCTTCACTATATGTTATCTCTCCAGTGGACGATTAAATTGTCATCAACCCAAGGAAAGGAACACAGCCTTATACCTGCAAAATATTTTTAGATGCAAATGCTTAATGTCTCTTGGCAGTACTGGCCTTCTGGAGGAAGCCAAATGTTTCTGTAAGCCAGGAATTTATTCCACAAGATCTCTGCCCTGAGGCCATTTAACTTAGATGTGAGGGCTGGGCATAAAGCCTGCTCACTTGCTTGATCTCCATCTGGGTCCCACTTATCCATTACCACATATGTGTTGTCCCTGTTTAGCTGCCTCTTCTGTTTTCTGCTTCCAAATCTAACCAGATGGAAAGGTTGGTCTCATAATCAAGCTCCACACAAGTAGAGCAGGGTAAGGACTGGGAAGAGGGTTGGTCTACAACATCTAGACGGGTATTTCTTTTCTTGGAGATATTTATACCACTAACAAAACATGATACTATTTGGATTAGATACTATTCAGCTTGCCATAATGTGGATCTGTAGTGAGAAGGAGTGGTTGGAAAGAGCAAAGTGAAGCCATTCAAGTACCGGTTTGTTTGGCACCTTTAATTTTACTGACACACTCCAACCAAACTGGGATTTCAAGTGGCACAATAGTGTACTTATAGGTTGGCATCTTGACCTGTAGAATGGACCAGTACATTATCCTAAACAACTTGTAAAGGGGTAAGCCTAATTTAAAATAGTGTGACTTCCTTCTGAGTAAATGTGTATAGGATTCTGCTGTAAATATATACTGAATATTAAGTTAAGCAGTAATTCTACAGAAAAAGAGGCTAAGTTGACATTATTGATGTTTCTTTTGACTGACCAGTTTGAATATTTTCTTCTGGAAATAAGGAAAAAAAACACCATTTTGTATCAGTTTTTGGTAGTGACTGTTGTCTCCCTATTGTCTCTCACCCTCATTTCCTTCCTTCTCAGTGACAGCAGAAAAAGGAAGGAGTTAGGGAAGTATACAATGTCAGGCACCCTGGGCAAGTATCTAGTCCCAAGTATCTAGAATCCTGGAATGCTGCTGTAACAGCCATTTAAGAGTCAAAGATGGGAGAAGAGATGAAATGAGAGAGAATAGTCAATACAGTAGGTATGAGTTCTTCTGCGGCTCATAATAAAATCTGTGTTGGAGAGGAACTCAGGAGTCCATAATTCTGCTCTTGACATTGAAGGCAGGTGATATGAGTTTCCTTGGCTCCTGCAGTTTGCGCTTTCCAACGCTTGGCAAAAAAAAATATCCGGTGACCCGGAACGGTGCCATTGCAGTCCACATAGCTGCTTTGCCTCCCTTTTCTGGGAAAAACCTAATGGAATGTTCAGAGCTTGGCTCGCTGTTCAGCTTTCCATACGGTGGCAACAGAGTCCAACTTTCACAGGCCTGACCAGCTCTTAAAGGCACTGCATCCCATTCTTGCCTCCCCTCCTTTTGTAGCTTGCAGGAAATGGTCCCAGCAATTGTCTTGGCTGGCAGTCACCTTCAGAAAAAGCAGAACTAGAAAAGCAATTCTTCTTCTTCTTCCTCCTCCTCTCTCTCTCTCTCTCTCTCTCTCTCTCTCTCTCTTGATAGAGCAGGTGGGGGCACTGTTGTTGTTTTTTCAAGAACAGAAGGTGCCAGAACTGCAGTTCAGCACATTCCACCAGTAAAAAAGCACTGGTTATAATAGAGTCACTGGTTATAATAGAAGCACTGGTTATAATAGAATTGATGTTTTTGAATTATGGTGCTGGAGGAGACTCTTGAGAGTCCCATGGACTGCAAGAAGATCAAACCTACCCATTCTTAAGGAAATCAGCCCTGAGTGCTCACTGGAAGGACAGATCGTGAAGCTGAGGCTCCAATACTTTGGCCACCTCATGAGAAGAGAAGACTTCCTGGAAAAGACCCTGATGTTGGGAAACATGGAGGGCACAAGGAGAAGGAGACGACAGAGGACAAGATGGTTGGATAGTATTCTCGAAGCTACAAACATGAGTCTGACCAAACTGCAGGAGGCAGTGGAAGCCAGGAGTGCCTGGCGTGCTCTGGTCCATGGGGTCACAAAGAGTCGGACACGACTAAACGACTAAACAACAACATAATAGAGTCATCAGAGATATTTTTTTCCCATTTATAGAAAACTGAACAGTGTGCTATTTAGCACATAACTCAAAAAGGTGAGGAGTATAACCCATACACTCTTTGGGGGCAATGTGCACTTGCTTTGATGGGGGCTTGCACAGAAAACATTGCTTGACAGATTTCATTTTTAATACACCAGACACTTATAATGAATATAAATCACAGTAAAATATAATTCAGCATTTCTAGGGAAATTTTTATTCTCCCCACCCCCTTTTCATCAAAAAGATGAAGAAAACATTTACAAAGATTCATACACTTCATAGACTGTAGCAACATGCACCATTAAGAAAAAGTGGTGACTTTAGGCCTTAGGCATAAAGCTCCCCTCTGCATGCCCTGAAGCTACAATGGATATTAAATTCACTGAAGTGAAAGTTAACACCATTTCTGTAACCCCATGCTGAACAAACATTTTAATCTGTCAGCAGACACATGCACAGATGATGAAGAGCAACAGAGAAGGCTACTTGAATAGTGCTCAATAAATGGTCACCAGGCTGGCAAATTATGGTTCCTGCTCTTATTATGAAACTGGAAAATGCTAATTCTGAAGCTTAAGAAGTAAGATCAACATGAACATTACTTATCCCTGAAGTACAATTCTGCTTTACCTACACCTGTACATTACATCTGCAATGCTCATGTGCTATCAGTCACAGCCATTCAGGGCTAGAATCTTGCAATAGATTCTTCTGGGACACTTTCAGAAACCTGCACCAGAAATGCCATATGCAAGTATCCATTGGAATATATATTAAATATCCTATGTCTTGATATCACAAAGTCAGTTTGGATTGAGGGCTATAGTATCATGACCACTTTTGAACCAATCACTGAAAAATCACTAAAAGAATTTTACAGTGCTGTTGAATATGTTCATGAAAATGAGAGAATATTTTCAATTCAATTCTAGTTAAATTCCACAAAGTGCACTTTACTGACATATTTCTTTGATGGCGCAGATAGCTGATCTTAGGGTTAGAAGCCCCATGGCAGATGGTTATTTTAAATAGTTTGACCTAATTTCTTAATGGGGTGATCCTGTGTTAGCACAAAGTCTTATTGAAGAACTATTCTTTCATATGAAAATAACAGAAGAAAAGGCTAAATATATATAGCAGAAGAATTGGCGGGTGTCAGCTTAATCTCTAATGCACAGCTGTCTATATCCAAAAACTGTCATATGGCATTAGGAAAAATTGCCAGCCTAACAGAGGGAGGAGGAGAAACATCCCTCAAACAGTTAATTTTTTTATGGACTACAAAATAATCCTGTCTACTGAGGTACATTTCCTTTCTAAGATACATTGTGGCACAGAAACAAAGAGAGGGATAGAATGAATCTAACGTGAATCACTTTGCTATTCAGAGAACATTTTAGGGTTCATTGTATCTGTGGATGGGAGGGAGAAATGTTCAAACATGCCCCACTCCCAGTATCCTTGTAATTCTACCCGCTTCTCTAACCTTCACCATGCTGAATTCAGAAAGTCTGCAGGAGACTTTTACATTCATTTGCTTGCATGAAAGCAGAACTCCCCATATAATCAATTATCCTGACAAAGCTCTGAGTGCATGTAGTGACTTGCACGGGGACATTGGGGTTCTAATGTGAATCCCTGCTGTACATCCATGGATACAAAGTTCAAAATATTTTCTTTCTTTTTTCTTCTGTGCTGGCCCTGAAAGGTGGCAATGTCACTAGGATGCAAGGAGAAATGGTAATACAAGGCAAAGGTAAAGGACTCCTGGATGGCTAGGTCCAGTCAAAGGCGACTATGGGGCACTCATCTCACTTTTCAGGCCAAGGGAGCCTGCATTTGTCCACAGACAGCTTTCTGGGTCATGTGGCCAGCATGACTAAACAGCTTGTGGCACAACAGGACACTGTGACGAGTATCAGAGTGCACAGAAACACTGTTTACCTTCCTGCTATTTATCTACTTATCCTAGCATGGTTTTGGACTGCAAGGTTGGGAGAAGCTGAGACAGAGCAATGGAAGCTCACCCCGTCACGGGGATTCAAACCGCCAACGTTCAGAGTGGCAAGCCCAAGAGGCGCAGTGGTTTAGATAGGGTTGCCATATTTCAAAAGTGAAAATCAGGACAGAAAAGTTGTCCAGCTTTTTTGAACTAAGTTGTTGAGCTTTTCTGGCAAAATCACAAAGAAATTGGATGTTTTTGAGCTATTTCTGAGGAAAATGAGCAAAAACAACACTGCCGACATGGGCCCAGACACTGCTTGTGGCTGCAGTATTCCGGATATGTCCAGGAAATTCCAGACATATGGCAACCCTAGGTTTAGACCACAGCGCCACCCGTGTCCCTGGTAATACAAGGATCAGAATTGGGCACAATATTGTATATTGAAAACAAATGCAAAGAAGAGAGATCTGGGAATGGTCATTTGGGGATATGTACAGGTAAACTCTAAGCATCATTTTTTCCCCTATACCACCATTTTACTCATGAATATGAGACTCGTGGTAGCAGCAGGATCAGGATCATATTTCTTGGCCTACGTGAGTGGGTCACCTCTGCAATTGGGTGCCCCAGTTGCATGTAGCCACTATCCAGAAGTAGATGCTTACACAGAGAGTTCCTCCCCCCCCCCCCGACTTCTGCACTCATCACAGGCTTTAGGCATTGTGGAAATACAACTTCCAGGGCAGGCCCTGAAGTGCAGCCCCACCCTTGTTGCTACAAATGGAAACCCTACATGCAAGAGTATGCATTGATAGGGCTTTGATGGCAGGACAATCTTAGGAATGATGACAACCCTAAAGCAACCCTAAAGCATTTCCCTATCATCGGAAAGGAGAGAGGAAGAGAAGTTGGCAGAGGAGGCTGTAGGTTGTCCTGCTTCACAAAAGGAATGAAAAAGGGATCAGGGCAGCAAAAAGTGGTTTACAATTAAAATATTTCTGTCTGGTTCTGTCTTCCTAAAGAGAAGCTGCTTTCTGCTGGAGATTCAGTCACCATTCTATTCATATGGACATTCAGTCTTTAACTTCTTCCCATGCTTCACTTCACCCATCCAACCATCCAAAAGCCTTGCTATTTCCGTGTCAGCATCTTCAATGTGTCCATTTTCATTCTGTGCCTACTGCTAATAACCTTGGCCATATCACTGTCATTCCCTCATAGCTGATTGCAATTCCTTTTGTGATGACCTTCCCTCTTGTCATTCCCTTTCTCTTCAATGTAAAATGTCATTGTTCACTAATGTCCCCTTATTGTCACTGTGATCATGTCACCTCTCATTACGTCCTTACTCGCTGTCTGCATAATCTCCCATTGTTTGAAGTTCTCCACCTGTCTGCTTCTGAAGAAGGCCAGTTGAGACACTACACTTGGTACAACATTGTCACCAAGATCACCTTCCCCAATGCTAAGTGAGCCCAATCCCAACCATAATGTTTAAAACTGATGGTTTCTATGATCGTGTTGACTGTTTCCATAGCACTGCTGAATTTCAGTGCTTTTTAGTATGATTGTTTAAGCATAGGTATGATATTTGCCTACTCTGTCCCTGAAAAGAACAGACAGTATTGTGGGTGGCAGCATTCACCTGACCTCTGGTTGGTTGGGTCACAGCTGTTTAACAAGAGGTAGAGAAAACAAACATACTGACAGGAGCAACGGATTTGCTCTGCCAGCATATTTGCATCGGCCTCCCCCTACTTTTTCCTATACCTCCTGGTAAGGTAAAGGTAAAGGGACCCCTGACCGTTGGGTCCAGTCGCGGACAACTCTGGGGCTGTGGCGCTCATCTCGCTTTACTGGCTAAGGGAGCCAGTGTTCAGCTTCCAGGTCATGTGGCCAGCATGACTAAGCCGCTTCTGGCAAACCAAAGCAGCGCACAGAAACGCTGTTTACCTTGCCGCCACAACGGTACCTATTTATTTACTTGCACTTTGATGTGCTTTCGAACTGCTAGGTTGGCAGGAGCAGGGACCGAGCAACGGGAGCTCACCCCGTCACGGGGGTTTCAAACCATTGACCTTCCAATTGGCAAGCCCTAGTCTCTGTGGTTTAGACCACAGCGCCACCCGCATCCCATACCTCCTGATAAGCAGCAACAATTCAACCAGCCAGTGGTTATGCGAGTGTGGCTGTCCCCACAATGCTATCCACGAAGGAGGGTAAAGAGGTATTTTCTCTAACTTTCTGTCCATAATTTTCAGCACTAAAAATTTGACATTTTGATTGAGGAATGCCAAATCTCATGTGATCTTGAAAGTAAACAAATTGCAGTTATGAAATTTGTGTTTTGACAAGACACTAGTATACAAGGATATTTTCCTCAGCAGATGGTATCCATGAAAACCCTTTTCAGAAGCTACTCTCTGTGAGTTTCAATAATGCATGGAAGGGAAAGCAGGGCCTTGCCTTCTGACTCTACATCCTAACATCGCCTTCTCCGCTGCCTTATACCCTGGCCTAGACCTTTGTGCATTGGACAGAATGTCTGAAGAGGGAACCCATGTGCATTCACCTGAACATATGGAGGTTCCCCTCTTCTACCTAATCTGAGACGGTATGAAGACACTGCTGGTGGGCCTTAAATGTTGAGCTCAGGACCGGCAAACACAGTTCTGCCCCCATGCATTCTCTCACATATTCTTGGAAGTTTTGAAGGGTCCTTCAATCAAGCTTTGCTGCACTTCCACTAGAGCTACAAAGTGGACAATTTGTTTCTGAAGTTGTTTCGCACAATATGCTGAGAGCAATAGCTTCTTCACAATGTGCATTAGGCCATCAGCTCTCTGCTAATGAACCCCTTTTAGAAGTTTACTGCATTCATATACCATGTGCTTAACAATCCATGAACTGTGATTGGTTAAGGCTATTAGTGTGCTTATTAACTCTGCAGCAAAGTTTGTAACTCTCTGAAAGTGCTAAGAGAGAGATCAGTATACTAATTGGGTTTCAGCCAGCCAACATATACACATCATATAGGATTTAGAATATTACAAATCAGAGAGAATCATTTTCAGTTTGTAGGATCATGCCAAATTTCTTTAAAGATTATTCATTGTCACTGATTATAACTTCCACTGAGTCATCTGTGAATGAAGCATTTAATTCATAGATATTGAAAAGAGGAAATTGGTTTCATGATACCAATTTGGGCTTCTTTCCCACATTAGAAGAACCTCCTATTATATAATTGCTGAGCATCATAACTGGTCTTCCTTCTCATGAAATAGAATGGTTTAGGTATTTAGTAGTAGCCAGTACAGGGGCCCTCCAGACGAGTGCTTTATTGTGGGTGTATGCAGAAACAAGCATTTTATACTTTCAATATAGATTAATAATGGATCTGTATGGGACCATCTGATCCTCCTCCCACTGCACAAATGTTCTTCAGTACTCCTGGATTCCTAATTCTGCACTGGCCTCATTTGACTCCTCCCAGGCCATTGTATCTATCACCACCATTCCTGCTCTCTGCCCTCCTGCTTTTTATCCAACAGTTGAAGCTAGTTGTGCTATGATGCCATGCTGCTATGCCACCCTGATCATTTCCACCAGCCCTTGAAGCTGCCATTCTTGCTAGTGACAGCAGCACTGTTGCCGCTTTTCTTTCTCCTTCACCTGTAGCAAGAAACTCAGTCTCTTCTCCCTCCCTCCTTGAATCCTGCAACTGGGCAAAGGTGCAGCCCCTGGAAGGAAGCGAGGAAGTAGGGAGAAAGGGAAGGAAATACATACCTTGTCCCCACTGCTTAGTTGCCTCAGCACACACACACACCACACACCGACCCTAATTTCTCTCTCTGCACACCCAGTCCTCTTGTGCGTACATGTATCCTTTGTTTGGGCTCTCTCCACTTTCGTGCAAACACACACCCCTGAGCCAAACATAACTCCTTATCTTTGTTTTTCTTCCTCCTTCTGGGTACCTATTGTGAGGAACTTTGTCCACTGAAAGATTTCAATAGACGTTTCCATTACATACAACAAGCTGGAGCACTTACATCCACTCATAGATAGGCACCCTGTCATGCAATTTATTGCTTTAAGCTGACAATGATAGGGGGGGAAAGGAAGCTGCTTTGTACTATGTTGGGCCAATGGTCTATCAATACTGAATAGCTCTCCAGGGTATCAGACAGGGGGGATTCTCAGATCTACCAGGAGATGCTGTAGACTGAAATTCATGCAGGTGCTGTACCATTGAGCAAAGGCACTTCCTGTTCACGAGTGGGTCTACACAAGATGATTAACTGGTCCGGTCTATCGCAGACAGCAGCATCAGTGTCAATGATGCAGCAACTGGAGAAGTTGCCTACCAGTAGATCTCCTTGTGATCTGAAGCCCCATCCAGCCACCAAACAAACCAGAAGTATCTGCTGATTAGTGAGATTGTGCTCCATTAGCGGAAACTGTTGGAAACTGCTGGCATGCAGCTCTTATTTTTCCTTCAGATCTACTCACAAGTCATCCCACCCCCATGCAACTTTTCACAACAAACTGGAGCACTATCCTACCAGACCTGCTCCAAAGTGCTTCAGCTTACAATAAAAAGGGGTTCAGTTATACAATCTCCAGATTTCAAAAAGAAATAGTGGAAGAGAATTTTAAAGTGTGTGTGTGTGTGTGTGTGTGTGTGTGTGTGTATACCGCTAGTATTTTATTAGAGTGGGAAACCAAAGAGGAAGACGTTAAATCAGTTATGATTAAATGGGCTCAGGATGTGGGACACAACATCCAATTTGAAAATTTGGAAAAGTTATGGAAAGTCGATGTAAAATTCACAGATTGCATATTATTAAGAGAGAATTACATGAATATGATGTACAGATAGTATATCACACCAGTGAAAATGGCTAAGATGTTTAGGAAAGAAAATAACAGATGTTGGAGATGTAAGGAAAATGAAGGAATATTTTATCATATGTGGTGGGAATGCAAATGCATTAAAAATATTGGGAAATGATATACAATGAATTGAAAAAAAAATATTTAAAATGAATTTTGTTAAACACCCTGAAGGCTTTTTTGTTAGGTATTTCAAATCAAGAGCTACCAAAAGAAAAATGGACATTATTTATGTATACTACAACAGCGGCAAGAATATTGATTGCACAATATTGGAGGATGGAAGAAATACCATCAAAGGAACAATGGCAAGAAAAGCTGATGAACTATGCAGAATTGGCTAAGCTAACAGACAAACTACGAGAGAAGGACAAAAAGAACTTCAAAAGAGTCTGGGAACCATTTACAGTTTATTTCAACAGAATGGACTGGATTCACTGGCAGGATTTGAATAAACTTTCACAATTTCATTTGAGTAACAGATATTTCAGAGAAATGATAAGGGATTTTATTTTTTTGTAGGGAAAGCAGGATACGATAAATAAAACTAAATAACTCAGCAGATGGGAAGTCCAGAGGAAGGGAGGGAGAATAATTATAAATAACATGATGAATGAGATTTGTATCATTAATTGTTATAAAATTCAATAAATATTCAACAACAACAATAACAAAGTGCTTCAGCTTGACATTTGACCAAACATGTGTCCAACTCACAAATAATTCCATTACATGTGCCTGCAAAATCAACACAGTTGTCACACGGACCAAGAGGATGAAGACAACATTCAAAAGAAATGAGAGAAAGAGAGCTGGTGTAAACAGTCTCTGTGTTGTTTAAAAAAATACACACACCTCCCAACATCTGTTACTGTGGTGAAAATTGTGCCTAGGGCTTCCTAATAAAGTTGAGGCTGAGTTCAGATATGGCCTCTCAGAAAATAAATAACCATCATCTTGAAAAGCAGGCACTAGAAATCTTTGATTTTCTCCCTGTTATGTCAGCTAAATATAAAACTTGTATATGATGCAGATTTTGTTGAAACTCTAACCCATTCATTAGCTGTGGGTGGTCCTTTCAATATCTAAATGCAATTTTAGTTGCCAGCATGATACATTTTTTTTCTTATCCTTCCTTAGTTTTCTTCAAACATTATTGTTATTACCTGTCGTTAGATTTATTGAGAGGTCCATATGTCATAGTTACTTAAAATCAAAGTTGCCAGGAACAGTAAATTTCTGTGGAAACAAGGGGGGGGAATACTATGCTGACATTAAAATATGAAAGTAAACTATATTTCCATGATTATTATTTTTTACATGATTTGCACCACACAATTCTACTGTTTGTTTGCATGAGACCTTGTTTTGCAAAGCCCATTGCACTTACAATCCCACCCCAAAGCTGCACTCTTTTGCTGAATTTCTGGATTAAATGTAGCAGCACCGATCTCTGAAATTCCTTTAAGAATGTCCACCTTAAGGTCAGCTGAAGAGTGTCCTGGTAGATTAAAAAGTTATTTTATTGGTTTCTGAATATGTCCATATGTGAGGTTCATATTTTTATAGCAACCAGCATGTTTGTCCTATGTAGAAGGTCATTTCAGAAAGATTAATTTCAAGCAAAAGAAATTATACTGAAGCTATAGCTTCAAGTGAGAAGCTTGAGGTAAACTTAGAAATGGGTGAAACATGTTAGGTCCCCTTGGAAGTTCTTCTTTACATTAGCAATGTTTAAACACAGAGCTATTTTTTCTGTGCATGCAAAGATGAATTCTTATTAGCCTGGAGTGTTTGCTCTCTTCAACTTCATATGTTACACATGAGTTTCACTGATATTAATATAGCAGAATTGGACTCAGACATATCTAAAATAGTCAAGGATTACTAAAATGATATATAACACCATTTCTAAAGACAAATACTGGAACAACTACACTCTTGGTTATCCTTGTCAATCACACAAGAAACACTTTTTTCCCTCTATCTCCCCAGCCCCCAGTGTGGCAGTTTCCTTTTATGGAGATACTGAGGCACTTGTGGTAGGTGCAGAAGTGTGAAATGGACTTCACAAGAGCTTTTCTTAATGTTTTTTAGAAAATTAAAAATCATTCTCAGAAGCTCAAAGTGAGTCTGAAGCTTTAGCAGTAGATTGCTATACTTCACACTACTTTCGGCCAGAGTAATCTTACTTCAAAGGCATTTTCAATATATCTGAAACAGGTAACTTTGTCTTGGAAGTTGGGCTTTGTAGAACACCCCTAGCAACAACCACCAAACGTGAAGAACAGGTGGAGCTATAGATTGCAAAGTTCAGCCTTATCCCCCGCCAGACTACAGTATCACTATCTGACTCTCTTATTCTTTTTTTCCAGTTTCATAATTTTTGCTTTATACCATTTTGACTACAAGACCCTGAGTATCACTCATCAGAAGCTTCACAAAATTTAGGAAGATACCTCATCAAGGAGATTCCTGGCCCAGTTCCTTCAAGCCATGTAATTCTGGGGTGCTAGTGTGAAGAGACACCTTTGATATATTGTCTTAGGACAATATATCCTGTTCTCAGCCATTTTCTGTTCTTTCCCCCTCTTCTGCTCTAGCTCTTAACAGCTAGAACAGTAAGTGCCTGAAGACAATGCTGAAAGTTACAGCTTTTCACATTTAATCAACCAATTGGCTCAAGGAATAATATAATTTAACCTGTTCCATATTTCCGATTCGATGGG